GACCGTGATGATAGAACCCAGCGTCGGCTCCTCGTCACTGGCGAGATAGTGCGGCCTCCTTCCAAACAGCGCGCGGCTTGAAGGCGTGTCTGGTCCTCCATCTTGTTGCCGAAGGAAATGCGGCGCTTGCTCGAGGTCGAAATGTTGATCTTCTGGCTGATGTGGATCCCCTGCTTGGTCGAGCTCAGCGTCCGAATCATCGTCGTTGAATTCCGCCTCGTAATCTAGCGAAGCGTTGCTCTCTAGCCCGCCCGTGGGGAATAGCAAAGAGAGGCAGCCACTTCGAGCAAATATCGACGGTGAGCAGATGTCATCGTCCCGCAAAGGACGCGAACGCCACGCCTTGGCCCAAGCGTCTCTTTTTGCGCTCAACTCGGAATTGACGCCGGTGTAGTCTAATGATTGCAGCTTGTTGGCGATTGCGTGGCATACCCTTCTCAGGGGAAGCCCGTGTATACTGTCCAGGGATCTGATCGCCGGAGAGCACACTTCTTCACCATGATCCAGTGCCTGTGACGCTTCCTTTGTCACCCTTTCCGCGCATTGCTCGAATTCGGCGCCCCACGTGCCGGCGCCAATGAATTCCAATGCAGCTAGATGACCAGACGGTAGTTTGGACAACTCGACCGATGGTGACCGCCTCTCCGCATCTTCATTGCTCAGCGGCATCAAGAGTCCAGTGTCTAGACAAGTGAAGCACCACGCCACCCCTATTTGAACGAATTCCATGTCGAGGACTGCCGCATCCAAGTCGATGAAAGGCCTCTCATGGATAGGTGGCGGCAGATCCGGCATGTCCGGCAAGACTACGTTAGGAGCGAACGCGAGCTCCTCCATTAGCGTCATGTTCTCACGCGCTGCGCGAGAGAGCCCCTTGCGGGTAGAGACAATCCAGGATATGGCTGCTTCCAGCGCTTTGGTTTGCGCACCTCCTTCTGGACACGGAAGCCGCCCATGCGGCATCCACTCGACACCTTCTTCGATCAGCCAATCCTCGCAATGGCGAGGAAGCGGTCTTCCTGCGCCATGGGGCGCTAGCTCAGAGGATGCTTGAGATGCGGGTGTGAGGCATAGAGATCGGACAAATTGGCCAAGTAGAGGACGCTGACTCAGTGTTCTGTGAAGCGCAAAGAGTTTAGGATGCTTCCCAATGCGAATGTGCGCATACAAGAAAGGCACCAACTGATTGTAGAGGAGCTTGTTGACCCTCAGAAGATTGACGTGGGTGGTGTAGTCTAGCCTGACGTGCTCTAGAGTCGACTCGCGAGCCAAGCAAGCCAATCTTGCCGACTGCAGAATCAGCTCCACCGGCAGCGACATGGCTAAGTACGAAGGTTTTGATTCCGCTGAGACCTCGTGCAATCCACCGCTAGCCTTTGCTGGATACGCGAGCCATCTGCGTAGTTCGTAATTAGTAGTATGAGTCTCTGAGCGCTATACTGAGATGTGGATGTGGTCTGTGGTACTAGCATCTCGTGTTGTTGGCACGTGTGAGCTTAAAAGCCAGCTGAGGACGACTGAACTGCAGCCGTCATCAGGGGCTTTGTGGCGGCCCGAGACTTGAGCAACAGCTCACGCACTCTGCGAGAGGATGGACGGGAAGGTTGATGAAGGGTAGTAAGTCGTGAGTGGATGGTGTAAAGGTACACCCGTCGAAGCTTGTGCGTGGACAGCACACACCTCGCTTCCCCATGATCGTGGATCGTGAATCGAGAGCCCTGCTGGTTCGGATTATTGGATGGTGCATGCCACGCGCAACTCTCTCGTACGATAGCCAATATGCGCCGAGCGCGACGCCCCGAGTCTGCTTTGAGCGTAGCCTTCTTCACAACAGATCATTCAGGATTCATATTCTGCCGGTACCTAGCCTCGTCAGTCTGGCCTTTGTGACCGCCTCGTCAGTCTGGCCTTTGTGACCTCATCACAAGCGCACAGCTCGGCCGCTGATCCGGAACCACATTCGTCAGACAATCTCCACTGGACGCACACCGGAATAAAGGTGTGCCGTACTCAAGACGTTCTCGAGATCACCGCCCGCTCTTCCACCCGCATACACGCCCACCAGCCATCTCTTGCTGTTCACTTCAACTGCACCGTCGTCGGACATTTACATCAGCTCAGAACTAATTCTGTCCGCCTTCTCTTCGGCGAGTAGACCCTACCCAGCGAAGCATCGCTATGGCATCACCACTTCGTCGCGCCACCGGCATAGGCGCTCGAGCAAGGGCATCGGCGCACGCAACACCCGTCGGCTCGTTCGTTCTCCCACTTCGCAAGTTGGTGCTGGACTACTGTCCGCATGGCATATCGTCAGAGCCGCTCAGACAATGGATGAGGGATGGAAACGTGGAGAGATGGGCAAGGGATAGACCTGCTGTCGAAGTTGTTGTCAGGGAGCGACCCGGAAGGCATCCGGTTGGACGCGGCGAATATCGTGAGTATTGGAGAGACGAAGCGTCAAATTGCCCCTCCCCGTCTCGAACGAGCCCGAATCAGATGCAACATCTGCAGCAGAGAGAGTACACATCCTCGCGGAAGAGCACGTCTCCTAGAATTCGCATATCTTGCCAATAAGCTGACCACATCTCGTCCGCCCCGACCCTCAGCACAAAATCGCGAAAAGGTTGTACCCTTGCAAAAACACGCGTACGAGGAGCTTGAGGGCAGATTACAGATGCTGGCAGATGCAAGTGGAGCCAAGAGGGATCTCAAGTGGAAGAGAAATACGGTGATTAGCGGAAGGGTGGGCAGTGAAGAGGGCGATGCAGTCAGGGGCATGTGGAGCCAGTTGCATGCTGATGGACGAGAGATTTGAGAGAGATGGACTCGAATCATTTTGCTCAGAAGCGACCTGATCAATCTTCCTCGATTCTTGCCAACGTACGTAAGCCTAGCTCCTGCCGACCTGCGTCAATGATACTTGTCAGTCGCACGCAGCCCGCCGCAATGCCACGCCCGAGGATGTTTCCGGTCGCTTTGGCAAGGCAAAGCGTGTTGCTAGGAGCGTGTTGTGTTCGAATAAGCTCCCTGGCTGCATGGCGTCAAGACTTGGCGGCCACAGAATGGCTCAGTGCGAGAAAACCTAAATGAGCAGCTCGAGCGGACTCGTTTGGCTGTGCGCTCCGTTCGTTGAAAGCGCTCGGCTCATGTCGAGGACGAGAACTGGAGCATCGCCATCCCAAGGCGACGCACGACGATGGAGGCTTGTAGATGTTTTAAACAAACACCCAAAACTTCAAAATGACGCCTGCCAAAGCTGCGAACACGGCCGAATTGTGGACATGTTTTGCTGATTTACGATTGTTGTGTGCTATTTGGGTACATTTTGATTCAAATTAATCGGCCTCGACCAGAGACGATGACCTGTTGCACAGCACGAGCCCCTTCGCTCGATCGAAACTAGAAAGCAGTCTGGACTCTGGCAGGAGTGAGCGTCTGCACAACTTCGCAGCACGCACGTTTAAACTCCGGCGAGGGATGACGCAGCGCTGCCGCGCAAAGCAGCGCCATTGTCAGGCAAAGGGAGGCATCGAAACCCCTTTTTTGACTCGCCGCTCAATTCAAGGCCCGAACATTCCTTCTCGCCGAGGGGCACGCTCCACACTCCAATGCCATTCATGTCGCTAAGGAGCTGAACTCAGACTCCAAAATCGTGAGCATCACGAGCCTGATCGTGGAGATGTGGATGGAGCAAGAGTTCACAAAAGGTATTCGTTCCAGATTTCAGCGCGGGTTGAGCAGCTTTACTCACCCCTCCTGCATGGCATGGCAGCCTGACTTCACGGTTGTAACTCACGACTCGGACCGTCCGAAGAGGCTCCGTTTTACCCGCTCGCATCCATCCCCTGCCGCGCAATGGGAGGACAAAGATTGCCTGCGTGAACCTGGCTTTCATCCACTTGTCTCGACTTCGCTTGCCTTCAGCGGACTTTGACTGAGCTACCAGGCAATCCGCCATTGAAAGGGTGCAGGCAAATTCACGTGATTTCTATATAGAGTCATGCTGCAACCTTGTCCGGGTGCAGGCGGCCGCTCCAGCTGAGGTATCGGTGCGTACTGTATATGGTACAGGCAGAAGAGTCGTGAGTACCGTCGTGAGTTCACAGTAGTCCCATATGATGTGACTCAGACTGTATGCAGAGAGGAGGCATCCAAGATTATATATATAGATGAGTTGAGCTGACACGCCTGAACAGCAGGTGAGACCTCGTGACTGAGACAGGCGCGCACTGACAGGCGGAAAGCGGTCCCTGTTCGAGCTAGGATGCTGTGCTCTCTTCGTCTCATAAGCTCGGGATTATATGCTCTGATATCTATATGTAAGCGAGTGAAGGATTCGCCTACTTCTTGATCGCTGCATGGACTCGCGCGGCATTCATCATGTGAAATTGATCTGTCAATGCCTGCTACATTTCTTGCACGTCATGTTCCGGCGTCGAGTCTTGGAGCGACAGCAAAGTCTCAGCCCCGTGGCGGCACACGATTCAAGACTCGCTCGCAATGAACGCATCACCATGCAATCACATGAATCATCTTGTGAATCATCGACAATAGCGATGGCAGCAATAAGAATAATAATAATCAAATTTGCTGTTCTTTCGCCGTGCTGCAAGCGAGGATGCTTCCCCGACTCCGCTTCTGGCTCCGGCTCAGGCTGGTCTAGGCGTCATGCATGGCGGCCGCCTTGCTGCCAAATCGATCGAGAGAGTATAGTGATTCAAGTCACAGTGCCAATGTTGGCGTGTGATGCGCGGCGCGCGGTGTCAATCACGAAGGCGATGCAATGACCAGCAGATGGATGTCCGGAGAGAGAGTCACGAGTCTTGATCGGGCGACACGAATGAGCTCGCATCAACGCCGTATACGGTGATCTAGTTTGACGGTTCGCCATTCAGATTGGTGACCGATGCGAAGCTTTGCTGAAACACACACGATCGTGATTGGAGGGAACGCTTTGATCGCCGGCATGGGCGCGATCATGATCTCGAATTCGAGTTTGGAAGGCTCCCAAATTGCCGAGAAAGGAGCGGTCGTCCCCCTTTCGCCGCGCGACGCCGAGCAGCTTCCGGTCGGTGTGGGCGCAATGTGAGTCGAATTGGCGATGGCTCTTATAGATCGAAGAACGGTGTCTGGGCGCCCATGCCTCACCCCTGGCCACGCGAAACAGTGCTGATGCATGACCCGCGTGCAAGACTGCAATCGAGTGCAGCAAGGAGCTGCAGCGTAAAGCAACAAATTTCAAAAAAAAAAGCGTACAGCGGCTGCAATAGGCCTCTGCGCGGCTGCCTCATCGGCGGGAGGGCGCCGCCTTGCGCGTCCTACATACAGCATGCTGCATGCTGGCTGCTGCTGCTGCCGCTGCTAATTCGACGATGTTGGGTTCCTACACGAATACCTATTGTATACCATGCGCACGCAAAGGTGAGACTTACCGTAGACTTCGCCGCCGCTGCATCAAGAGCTGATGTTGTTGCTGTTGCTGCTGCTGCTGCTGCTGCTGCTGC